TTTACCAACTTTCTTAGACATTTACTAAGACGAATGTGTAAAGGAAAAATATGACGAAAGCAATGTTTTAATCGAAACAATAAGAGCAAATGCATTTGTTCGAAACTTCGTTTGTACATGAAATTAAATGGGTTGACCTGAAAAGCGCTCTAACATTGGTAACAACCGCAATTGATTTCAGTAAATTACATGGCACTTTGAAATCGAAATAAATAGTTAATGATGGTATCTCGAATTGGAAACTGAACCTAATTAGATTGGATTTTTTTCAAATATAATTTTCGCTTTTTTTTATATTCTTTTATATTCCCGCTGCGTGTGCATGTGCAGAACATGATACAATGGCTTGCAGCACTGTGGGAAACTGGATAGCGATCACTTTCTGTCCATTGTCACAGATTATGTAGTTCGATGTCATAATAATAAGTATATCCGTTACGCAATTGCACAATGCGCGAAGAACGGGAGTAGCAAGTTCAATGTCAACATAATTTTGCGGTATCTTTCTTGTCGCGCTGGTCTCTTCCTCTCTCCTCCTTTCTGAGATCCTGGTCCGGCCGTGGGGTGGAAGAGGACGAGGACGGAAGATATCTGTGAAGGAGGAGCAGAAGGAGGATGTATGGATGGATGTGGTTGTGTTCGCATGCGAGAGATCGTTTTGGATGGAAACAGGTAAAGAAAGAAAGAAGGAAGAAGAGGAGAGTAGGACGCGGGGATTGAAAGGAGGAGGATTTGAAGGAAGAAAAGAAGAAGTAAAAGAGAGAAAAGAAAAACGAGGTGGACGACGTGCAATGCACAGGTGAGCGCGCGAGACGGCGATGGCGGAACACGCTCGGGCGAGACGGAGACGCGGCGCTTGGGTCAACGGACCTAATGCCAAGGTCAATTCGACTACGGCCACACGTGGGACACAAACGGCGGAATACATTTCTCTCCTCTCCTCTCCTCCCTTCTCTTTCAAACTTCACCAATTTTGACTACAATGTAAATCCTTCGCACCGCTCCAAAAACCAACCCCCATCGTCGTCTCTATTTTGCCAACGCCGTCAAGCTTTTCTTCCTTCACGCTTTCCTTCTAATCTCAACCAAAAGAAGTCCACCCAATTGATCCATCATCGCGTCGCCACCGACAAAGACTTTTCCACGTAATAAATCTTTACGATCCATGCGACCATCGATGTTCGAGCCATTCTCCTAAGGCACATATAAACCGTGCATCATCGCCACTTACGATCTAATAATTCACTGTACAAATTAGTGACATCATATTTATATACCATCGACTTCTTCTAAATAAACTCTTTTTCTAAATAGCAAAAAAAGCACCAACAAAGATATGGACTGCACAGAACAATGCAGCCAGCCTTCTCTTGGTGAAGCATCCTCGCCACCATAATATCAACAACAACAACAATGTCCTCTTGGGGAATAATTGAAGAACTTTACAATTGTCATTTAGTTTATTGCCGTGCACTTTATCAGACATATAAGTTTATGACCGCGTCTTGCTGCTCCGCAATTATTTCCAACTCAAATGAAATGCTTATATTCGCGTTTTTACTTCCATCCTTCCTCACGTTGTAATATATACTTCTATATTCCTTTTAACCAAACCGCTCTTCGAATAAAGTCTGGATGCTTTCCAATTAATCAAAGTTTTGCAATAATCCTGATCATTGTTTTTACAGTTTTTACAAAAACTTTATTTTTATACTTAATCCGAAAATTTATGATCTCAGTAAAAGTTACTAAAATTACCTAAAAACAAGCAGGTTGGTTGCCCTTTAACTTCTTATGCATTCTAGTTAATTAATGATATTATTATAATAACAATTCATTGTAACAACACAAATAATTACAGACACAAAAAGTGGGATAAAATTATTATAGATGTAATAATAAATATAATTTATTACATATATGTTTATATAAATATAAAAGGCTATTGTCTAAAGCCTTTCGGCCCTATATTTATTGATTACGAAGATTTAAAAATTATTAATAAAAATATAGAATCAAACAATCTAAGTACCATTTAGCCGATATACTTTTCCAAGGTGTTGTTTCCGGTTGCATTACGTAACCTAGGTTGGTTTAGTAAAAAGTGCACGCAGGTATAAAAACTGTACTTTGATGGCGTACAAGATATCCAATGAAGTGTAAATATCCTGTTGCATAATAATGGTGAGTTTGAGGAAGTTAACGTTTCCGACACACACACACAAAAACTTCATATACAAATTGGTATTGCATTTAATAGTTTCATTCGACAGTTTTATTTTAGTTTATTTTCAGTTGTATGAAAGCCATTATTTTATATATTTTTCACGTTAACATATACGTTGGGATTTGGGTTTGCTTCTCCCCAACCCTCGCGTTTCCATTATATTTTTCCCCTTGCGCTTTTTTATGTGCAAAAAAAGTAGTTTTTTTCAGTCTTTAGAAAGTTGTTGCAACGCAAATAAACCATGCATAAATTGTTAGAAATCAATTATTATGGAAATTGATGCAAGAAGTAACATAATCTCGAATCATTTTCTTTTAAAGTTTTTATTTTTTTTTAGTATTATATATTTTATATGTACTATTTAATATTTATGATTTAGTTTTTCAGTTAAATATTTTCAAATATTAAATAGGATCGTAAGAATCGAACATCGTTGATAAATATGTGTGTGTGTATAAAAGATTCTAAACTTTTTCTTTATGTTTCTTAGAAATGGGTGGATCAACACCTATGGATCCTCTAGCAAGATTCGCAAGAGGTTCTATCGAGTTTATATAAGCACAAGACCACCTTTTGTAAGTAACCATATTTAGTGAGACGAGCAAGGATTTGCCACGAACGTAATCAACATCATTTCATCAATCAATTATTTACTACAAACTTACAACGAATCTAGTGCTTCGGTTATTTTAAATTATTATATATTATATGAACATAATTATTTCTATTATATTTATTTCGGAATGATTAGTACAAAATAATGAATCAAAAAATTTGTACACTCATTGAAAAATTATAAATCTAAAGTCTCATTAGATATGCGCACCAATATTATTGTTATTTGAAAGGAAGCAGGAGGGAGAAACAACAAAGCAAAAAATGTATGTTAATTCAGTAATTTTTATTCATAACCTGGTACATAATTGTACATACATTATTTCCACTGATTTCTATGAATACTAAAGACGCGGGTTAAAACAAAAAGCCTATTAAGATATGTAATACTGATACAAGAGTTTTTCAAACAATTTCTGTAGAAAAAAGAACATTAGTTTACATTGTTTTCTCGCATTGCGATCTCGATCTCGAGCTGACATACAATATTAAGATATAGTTTGTTTTTTTTGTGGTCTTCGGAGATTTTAATCACTTTTACCAATGTTTCGAAGAAATAAGATTGATGGCCCGAATAGTTTATTCCCGTAATAAAAGTACCATGGGCGTGTGTAAAAGTGGGACAGGAATTAAATTGATTGATATGCACGTGGACATGTAAAAGAAAAAAGAGTGGTGTTTCTTAAATGATTATTAAAAGGCTTATCCGAGGGGGGCCTTAGCATGTAAATCACGATTTTTAGTGAAGTTGGGATTTGTGGTTTCGGGCACAACAGCAGATGTGCGAGCAGCGAGTGTTGTTTAAGTGTGCGTGATGATGGTAACAAGTGTAACCTATGTTGGTATTGATGTTGCTGCTGTTGCTGTTGGTGTGCGAGTGTATGCATTGTGGTTGCGATTGTGATGGACGGACGGAAGTGCGTGGGCGGAAGTCGCTGGATTACCGTAACTGGGGCGTGGTCTTCGTTCGTTCGCGGGGAGTCGCGGATAATTAGGTAATTGAATGACGAGGTCGCAGTCAGGAATCTGTTCCCCCTTTATCTCCCTTTGCTGCCGAAGGCGCGAATGAAAGGAAAAGCCCTTTAGCATGCATTGTTTGTTATCTAATGCAGCGAAGATCGTGCAAGACCGTTTGAGAGCGAACTTATTGAACTTATAGAACCACTTATTGCGATACCATGTTGCGCAAACGTTCCAACTGCGGGAGATGCTAATTATGTGATTCCTCGAGTAATACGAACCCGCCTAATCGTTATTTATGTAATTACTTTTTAGCGTTATTAATCATGCCTGTATTTCCAAGTATAATGCATAAATTACGTTTCGCATTTTCCTGGTAAACGCCTTTTGAGAGTTTCACTTGCGCTCTCGGTGTTATCCGTGCAAGATGCTATTTCACAATGGAACATAAAACACGAGAAAGAAATAGCACTTTCATACTTGGGTTTTATTATGTATTATAAAATGTAGCTAAATCCGAAAAAGATGTGACCAAAAAATTGCAGTTCTGGTGAAAGAAACGAAAGGTGGAACAACGGGAAGACGAGGGGTAGCGGGAAGAATGGTCTGTGTCGGTTCAGAAAAGGAGGGAAGAGAGATCCGATCCGTGTTGTTTGCCTGGGCTTTTATAATTTTATTGTAGTTATAAAAAGGGTCCCATCCGGGGGACCTTTTTTGGGGGTAAAATGATGGGCGGTAGATAAATTTTCACTCCACTCGTAGAGAGTGAGCCCATTTAGTTGTAGTATAACGTGTTTCTTGGCAGAGGACGGTTTTCCGTTTCGATTTTAAACCCCCGTTTGCTGCAGTTTGTGCGCGCTGTTACCTTTAATTCAGTGATAATTATGGTTTTATTGTGGCCTGTAAATTGGTAGGATTTTCAATACCAATTAAATTCCACGACGATGGGTGCACTTAATCAGCTGGTCGTAATCTGCACCGGGATTATTACTGGCCGTTGGGTTTTATGACAGCAATATGGGTATATATATATATTTATGGATTCTGTCCGTGCAGAGTGGAAAACGAAGATTAGATTTGTTAAGATGCAAATTCGCTGGAATTCAGATAATCACTATTTATGTGCATGTGTGTGTATTGTATCTATAGTTTGTGTATGATTTCTTATCGAACTTTTGTTTCTCTTCTTTGCCTACAGTGGTGTGGCGATATTGAGCTGCACGGATTGCAGCGGTAGTTCAACAGCTTCAAGTGATATAACAGACCCCGGATCGCCGTTCAGCACTGCCTCTACCCACTCGGAGGATTCGGGTTCGCAGCCCGCCAAGATGCCACCGACCCAGACCGCCCATCATCCGCCTTGGTCATCCTGGACAGAGGAGTCTACTAACGGAGTATCGAACCTGAAGAGGACTTCGCCGTCGTTGATGACCCAAAGCGGCTGCGGCATTGCAACCACCTTCTCCAAACGGGCTAAAACCGTGGATATTCAACAACAACAACAGCTGCCGCAACAGCAATCAGCTGTGTTGATAGCAGCTCCATTGGTTGCAAGCACAGTAGCATCAGCAGCAGCAGTAGTAACAATTCCCACTACCACACCGATATGCCTAAATAACAATATCACCTCAAAAAGCGCACAAACCGAGCCTAGTCCTAAGCAGAAGAAATCCGAGCCCCAGAATCCGAAACTGCAGCAAGGGAAGATCACAGAATACTTCAAATCGCAATACAAACCAACGAGCTTGATCAAGAAGGAGCTCTCTAACATAATAATCAAAACGAACAATCCAAGCAACCCAAACAAGTATGTGAACCTAGTCGAATCAAACAAGAAAATCGTTCGAGTGCCTCAGAAAGTACCTATAGAGCGATTTCCGAAGACGCGCAGCGTACCACGCAAGATCCTCCCTGCGCCCAGTAAACAACCCATAGCCCACCCAATCACCCCCGTCACAGGTTTCCCCCCCATTATCACCACACTAATACCAAACGTAGCCTATATACAAACCAAAGCTCCCAAACCTCCTGATAATATATTTGTCTTGAACGAGAACACCATACCGTTAGTAAATCGAGGTGCTTCATGTATCATTCAATCCCTGCCGAACTTCAATTGCGTCAAGCTGAACACCACTGCCACAAATGCAACCACCGTCGTGCCCATTGTAAAACTTAATATGCCTTCGAAGAATTATAGTAGTTTTAATATGATCAATACTGCCGTGCCGACGGTGCTCACTGCCTCCAAACCTAACATAACGACATCATCCCTCATAACGAATGCCACCCTCGACGTGAGCCGCCAGTGTATCACAGCCGAAGAACTGAGTCCGGCCGATTCTGGCGTGTCCACTGCCAGCAGCCTCCTCGAGGTCCAAGTAGACGAGGCAAAGACTCCCCTCGAACAAGCCCAGAAGTCCCCCATCCTCTCCCAACCCAAAACTATACGGTTTCCTGCTAAGGAACGGACCGAACCCAAGGACAAGATAACCGTCAACGGAGATGCCGCTACATGTCAATGGGATCAATGCGTAGCACAATTCGATACCAATGGTGCCTTACTAGAACATCTACAGGTGAGTGTGACACACACAAGTGATTTAACGGATCAAAAACCATTAACCATTCCTGATTCCGCAGGTAAAACATGTGATAACTCAAGCAAACCAAGAGCAATATGTGTGCCTATGGCACGGATGTAAAGTACACGGTAGGAAGTCGTGTTCAAGATCGTGGCTGGAAAGGCATGTCCTGGCGCACGCCGGTTCTAAACCTTTCAGGTGCATCGTAGATGGATGCGGTCAAAGGTTTAGTTCACAAGTAAGTTTCTTTTTTAATACTAATCATCAACTTGAAATGAAAACTGAAAGTATGATAACTAATTTTGAATATAATGTATTTTCAGTTGGCGCTCGAGAGGCACGTGAATGGTCACTTCAACACGGATAGCTCGCAGAACGGAAGTACAAAGAAGTCTGTGGAGAATAGTTGCGTTAAATTATTTAGAAGAAATGGCAAGAAGATACGATTTAGGAGGCAGCCGTGGTCAGGTAAATTGAAAATTAATTCGCCGCTCAGATCGCTATCAGTACGACAGTGTCAATTCCGTGGGTTTAATGTATGCAACACAATAATCGCGCTAATCTGAATAAAGTGCGCGTGTGGTTGCATACATTAACATTTAATTGTGCAAAATCGTTGCATTATCCGCGGCTTAATCGAAATTATATACATTTACATGTATCTATGTAGATGCAATCGCCATCCTCACTATATACATATTTCAATTAGTTTGTAAACGTTATGGACTTATTGAGTTATTTATCATAATGGAATACTTTCCATTCAACTGGAGAAATTACAAATGTTTATTACATTACTTCTCTTTTTTATAGCTCGCATGTTTGATTTTATGGATTCCGGGATAATGGAAGGTCTTCAGTACAAATTACTGTCCATGACGGAAAAACGGACAATGGGCCAATTCTCCAGCGTCGACGGTGAATCCATTACACTGCAAAGTCAAATTTTGGCCAGGCGAGTTGAAGAGGACGGCATCTCTAAAATGCTCCTGAGGTGGCATCCCACTGATGTGTAAGTATATACAACAAATCCATGGAAGAAATCGACTTAAAGTAATAAAAATTCTCAACTATTCACGGAAGTGAGCCGAAGGAAACGTTGGGTTGGGCTTCAAAGGTTAAAAGCTATGTTTTATCTATTCGTTGCCATCGTATCGAGCGCAAAAAAAAGAGAATTGATTTGTTGAAGGAAGCTAAATAATCGAAAGTGTTATAATTTGATTCTTTTCTTGATTTCAGAGTTGATGATGAGTGGGTAAGCGAAAAAGACTATAGGGCACAAAAAACAGTATCGATACCTAAGCTGCAACCCTCGGCGAAGAATTCGCTACGGCCCGTGCTATTCCCCAAGGAAAAGGTGGCCACTACAAGGCAAAAACACAGACGCAAACCTAGTAAGAACACGTGATATATAACCCAAGTTCAAAGCGTTCACGAAGCCTTCATAAGAAACTTAAGTAAATAATTGAAGAAAAAAAAAGACAACAGGGTGTTCAATGTACTCTCGGAAAATCAACCCCCTCCCCCATGAAAGCGAAAAACGACGAGACACATCTTTAATCCCTTCCCTTTTTTCACACACAAAAAAAAACACATTAATTCATTCTTCTTCGTTTATTTCATAATGTAAGCAAATAACATGACAATTATTATTACACATTTTATATAATATATCTTTTGTTTGATCTCTATATACATTAATTTCAATATTTTTATGCAGACTTCGTGTGTTTTTTTTAAAATATTATTTTATACGTGTGTGTATGTATTTTTTTTGTGCATAACATAACACTTTTTGTGTACAGTTTTATATAAATATTATATATATTATACATAATAATTAGGTAGAAATTTTGAAGGAACGCAGCCAGCTAAACTAATCACTGCCAATAATTAACGATCGAGGTTTGGCCTGCCGAGAATTCCGGGATATCGTTTAGTCTTGTAAAATAATTTAAAATGAACGATACTTAGTTTCTTTTTCTCGTTTCGTTTCTCTCGCGATTACCACTTAAAAAGGGTCTTCGCGCGAGTTGGGTTTTTTTGCAGAAGGGATGAATTGACCGAAGTTATCAAGCATACCTACCAAGCATTCCATGATCTATTTTCGTTTTGTTTTCTACATTGACCTTGGAGAAATTTTAGCTTAAGAAAATTTTTAAAGTACAAATTTATATTACGTTTTTTTTTAATTAAATTTAAATTTACTTATTAGATTATAATTTAATATTGACAAAATAATGATGATTATGTATGATAATGAATATAAGTATTATTTGTGAAGAGGACTGAATTGAAATACATGTGTTCAAATGGAACCTTCTTAACTTCGGTCGAGACTACTAACCCCGTTTTCGATTGTGACTACTTACTCTCTTCTGCAAAACGCGGTTGTCTTAAGTAATTTTTTTTTGTTTTTATTTTTTTTAATTATTATTATTTTGTAAGTATTTAAGAATGCGGTTTTTATTTTATTTTGTAATTTTTAATACACGGTGCATAATATGATATAATTTAATTTTATTATTCTTAATTAATGGATATTTATATGATTATACATTAATTATACGAGTAAATGTAATAAATAATAATAACAGAAATCCTATCACTGCCAACAAAACTGCCACACTCTTAGAATTTAGTGGAATAACAATAATAATGTTTATAATCGACGATGGTGAGACGTCATTTAGGAGAGGGGGTGTGTATCAACAATAAAATAGGATCAACGCCCTTTAATAAGAACGTGTGTGTTCAGTTTCACCTTTTGTTTGTTCAATTTAAAAGAAAAGAAAAAAAGAAAAATTGTAAACGTACGAAGCGTAATGATAGTTTTTTTTTATATAAATATTATTGATCTCTTTCCATGTATTTATTGAATATTCTTCATTCGTCATTTTGTATATTTCGTCTGCTGGATTCGATTGGTTCAAAACGGGTTTTGTGGAAATGAAATTAATAAGTGAAGGGAAATTAAGTGCCTCAAAAAATTTGTAAATTCGCGTTAACAAAAAAATAAAATAAATGAAAAAGTAAAAGATTCTGTTGTTGATTTATTAAGGCAATTGAATCAATCGATTCCACGGACAAGCATCGCATCCAATCGTGATTGAGTAATAATTAAATCCAAAAACAAAATCTCTTTCTTCTTAAATTATTAAATATAATATTAATGAAGAAAATATATATAGAAAGAATATATATTTTTGCTCACAAATTTATGAAGATAATTAAAATTAATAATTAAAGAAAAAAAAAATAATAATTAAAAAAAAAACTGGAAAATATAGACTGATATCGAAGAAAAAAGTAAATTTTATTGAAATTTTAGGTAAAATAACGGCGAATAAATAAAAAGCACACTAATGAGGAAAAAAGAGAATCAATTGCAAATAACGATGAAAAGGGTTTTGAGAATCGATGATTTCGTTTTTGACTGATTTGTCTGATTTTCGGTTTTTGTTGATTAAACTTAATTTGCAATTTTTATTTAATTTAATTTTTCTTTCGACGTGTAGGAAATGTACAATCTAATCTTATTATTATTATTAATATTATTATTGTAATTTACCTGTGCCTAATTTAATTATGTTTTATTACTATTGTAAACTGTATTTGTAGTTTGGTAACATGACGATGATGATAAGATATGAAGTTGGTTGCTCCCCGATTTGTTTCTTCTCCAGAAAAGCTAAAGATATGAATCGTGACTGTCCTTCCTTTTTTACGTTTAAATTTATTGACTATTATATATATATATATTGCAGAGAAATAGTAATGACAGAGAGGAATATATAAATATAGATGATTCAAAGAAGAACAAAAAAAATGTAAATAAAGTTTGTAAAACGTTTCAGTATTTATGATGACAGACAGCTGTACTTACATGACACTAAGCAGCGGCCAATGTTGATTGTCTCTAATTCTTAACTAATTTTGTACATAATTATTTCCTTTTTCCGCGATTGAAATCTTCTGTACAGTATGTTATATATATATGCGAATGCGACTTGATTTTTCTCCCCACTTGATTACTTTTGACTTTATTTTGTGTTATCATTTTCAACAGAGAAGCGCATTAATATCTCGTTTACGGTTTTCTTAAATGAAACTTATTTGCTAAGTGTTTATTAGAAATTTTATTAGAGCTATGTTAAGAATGGGAAAAGATTTAAGGTTGAATCAAACGTGTATAGAGAGAGAGAGAGAAAGAAAGAAAAAAATAAGGAGAGTTAGAAAGAGAGAAAGTATGCAGCAAATCGCCCTGAAATCGGTGTCTTATATAAATATATAATAGGTGAATTAGTTAAAAGATTATATAAATATTATATAAATACAAAAATATATATTGAATGCAAATGAAAAGAAAAATCAAGCGCGAGGACGAAAAATATGACTTTTCCTCTCGAGTTTCTTTGCGGGAGAAATATTTTGGGGATGATTTGCTCGGAGCGAGAAAGTAGTTTATAAACCATGCTGATGGGTAAATCCGGCTTGAGAGAAAAAGTGTGTACATATAGGTAATTTAATTAGCGTTAATTATATTTTATTTATATAAACGCGGAAAATGAGAGAAAAAAAAATATGTAATGAATAAAACAAAATATTAAGTACGTTCATCACAGAAAACAAAACAAAAAACTGAAAAAAAAAATATAACACAATCACCGCATCTTGTATTATCGTTATTATTACATTCGTCGTTGAGTTTTCCTCTGTTTCGTTTTTCATACACCATCCCGAAGAATAGGAGAAAACACGTAATAGTAATAATAACTTAAATAAGTGAAGAAAAAAAAAACACGAGTTCAAATTTCTGTTTTCAATCATCCAAGAAATATGTAACAAACAAATTCTACCTCAAAACAAAAAAAAAGGGACGAGAAGAAAAGAAGAAGTAAATTAAACATATAGTGTTCTTTTTTTTATATATATATAATTTAATTATGTTCTAATTATAATTAATTGTATTTTGTATAGTTTTTACAATTTGTATGTTTCTCCTTTTTTTTTTAGTTTTTGCGATAAAAAAACAAGAAAATAATAATTTCGAGAGTATGCGAAAGGAAATTCTGTATTCTTTCCTTCCTACCCCCTTCCCTCACTCCCCAACTAATTTAATCGACTACAATCAATTCTCTTTTGTTTGTTTGTTTATAATAATTAATAGAACTATTTGTAGTTTTTTATTTTGTCTGTGCGAATTCATTTCCAAACGTTTGTTATTGTACCCTTACATGATCTAATCGAAAGTTGTCCTTCCTTCGATCCTAAATTAAGTAGACGAACAAAATAAAGTAAACTACCCAAAAAAAAAAAATAATTATAAATACCCAAAAAAAAGACTGATGCAAAAATGATATGTAACATTTTTCTAATTGGGCTTGTTTCCTCATTTTTGCGTTCCCGAACATTTCTCTATGTGATTCGACAGGCAAAAATAAATAAATAATACAGTATGTAATTATTCTCTAAATGAATAAAACTTGTAAATATTTTAAATCGTTTTCGTAGTTTCATTCTGTTTCCCTCCATTTACTTCACTTTCCTCTTCAATGCGAGAAGAATAAAAAAAAAGCGAGATGGATAATTACAGTATAAGGTAAGATTGGGTTTGTTGAATTCAAGTCTTTCCATTTCAAGAGGGGTCAGCACGTGCGAACAGGTTATCAGATTCCAATATTATTATACGAGTGTGTACGTGGATTTTTTTCTGCAATTACCGCCGTTTCCTGTTTATTTGAAATTACATCCTGCTGACGAAAAATAAAATAAAAATGTAAGCGCAACGTGCCGCAAAAAAAAAATGAAAATGAACTTGCGTCGCACATGGTGAGGTCGCAAATAACAGAATGTGGATAAAAGTGTCTATGTACGGGAAAATAGTTACATTATAACAACAACAACTACAAAAAAACTGTAGAGAGAGAAGAGATGCGAGAGTGAAAGACAGGTAGAATTATTTGAAACGCCAGCAAATGATCCAACGATAGGAACGACCTTAATTGTTCGGACGTTGCATTATCGATAGTTTATTTGTCTTTTGCGCAATTAGTTTTTATTCTATCGAGCAAATTGTTAGCTTCCGTTTGCATATGATTTTGTTAATGCGTTATTTTTATTTAAATATCATTAAAAAATAAGTTTAACATCTTGAAATGAGTAATTTTACTCATTGAGATGTTATTAATATTTGCTGCTTTTTGTTGTTATTAGTTGACGTTTTTTTAGCATTTAACTTTGACAAATAATTAAAAAGTGTACTAACAAATCAATTGTAATATTTTTAGAAAGCAAAGAAAACAAGTTTTGTTTTATTAACCATGGTAACACGTTGAACCATAGAAACAGGTAGAAAGAAACATATTTAGTCGCCATACAAAAGATTTAAAAAGTTCTGAAAATCATGGAATTATCACAACAAAGTCGAGTCTAAAATACATACAGAACTACGTAGAAGGTTAAGGTGATGCCTACTTTTTCTTGGAATTGCCATGGAATATTTCTCGTCAGCTACCTGAAAAGTGGAAAAACAATAATATTATTATATTATGCATTGTATTAACGACGACAATAAATTTAAGTATCAAATAGCGTTGACAAAAATGCTTAAATTGCAATATGATGGAACGGCTACCT